AAGAAACATCACAAAGATTTTTCGTAAAATGACAGTACACTAATAAAGAAAAGTTACCAATAACGATAAAACTCATTAAATAGACAATTTTCTTTCATGGTGATCACTCACTTCTCGCCTCTCATTTCTCTTTCTTTCATGCACACAGTTTCCTTCGCCCACTTGAGATCTCAACCTCTGGCAATGAATACATTTACGTAAAACTATTTATTTCGATTTGAGCACTCCATTCACACAAAAGGTTTTCCAATTATTAAAATGTAATTCGTAAAATACTTAGCAGAAAGAAATATTTAATGTAATTTCGGTAATTATTTTATTGAATTGCACATTTATACAATATTTATAAGACTTTATATGGATGAAGAAATCGTTCAATAAAGAAACAATAATTATAACTGCTTCAGAAATATTAGATTCAAATTAAAAAACATGTATACAAAATTTAATAACGATGTCACAAATTAGTTGTGAACTTATGATGTTGTATCAAGCGAAACTTCGTAGTATCAATAGAGCAATCAAAATTTAAATCAGCTATTAATAATAATAATTTAACAAGTTTGATATTTTCTTCTATAATCTACAGTCAAATATTAATTTTCTTTAGAAAAAATGTTAAAACTTGTATCTAAAAAATAGCAAATACATCCTTAATGCAAGACACAAATTTTGGTTAAAATTTAGCGAATGTTAGTATTAATATTTTTAAATTGATTTCTATGTATAAAGACTAAAGAAGACTGCAGATTTTATACAGCATATATGTTATTTTATTTGATTTGAATGTCTGTATCATATACAAAAATCAATATTGGCATGAATTTATTCATGTCGCATTCAAAGCTTGATTGAAGAAAAAATAGAATTGAAATAGTTTAGGGAATTTTATTATTTTCAAAATTTCTGCATTTTCATAGACACTTTTACAAACTGTAAAACTGTAACTGTAAAAAATTGATACTGTAATTATCATTGATATATTCGTTTTCAATGTGTCCCTGTCTATTTCTAAATGCTTGCGTAGGTAGAGAGGGCAATTCAACGTGAAACTGAATTTGCAGTCAACGATTGCAGGTAATTACGATGGTTCACGATACAGGGTACCGTTCTCCTTGACCATATTGGCATCCTAGAATGCGCGTTGTCTCTTATGACACTATAATACTAGGAATGTGAAAGGTCTAGAGCAGTGCTTCGATGCCATAAAGGATTACTCGTATTTACCGTTTTCACAAATTGGCCGGATAAAATCGAACGGCTGGAAAATCATGTGTGTGCTTGTTATTGCCCAGCGAACGGTGAAGAGAAGGGAAGATTGATTTCAATCGCAATAATTTGTACAGTAATCGTTTTAATGTTGCAAATTGACGGTATACGCAGAAGGTTAGATATTCGGATAGATTACAATCTACAGATACTAGTTTTAAACAATCTTGTATGTTTTCTTTGTAAACCTTCTGCTTCGTTTTTCATTCTTTGTACCGAAAAATTATATGCAAAGTCTTTCATCAAAGAAAAATTTTAATCAATTTTACAAAATGAAATACAGTATTTTGTTTTTATATTAATTTACGTATATGAGATATTGGCTTTACATATCGATGTATTTGATCTTGTTTTGTGCGAACAATTTTCAGTTTTACGAGTGCTCGAAATCTCAAAAGTTTTTGTAACTGATTTGAGGGTATTCTTCATAATGTCTTTGAAATATTCAGTTTTTGTTGATATTCAAGTATTCGACAAATTCATTTAAATTATTTATTGAAGTGTATGAAGACTTTAAGTGATATAGTTCTCAGGTGAAAGTAATAACATTTGTAACAAATATATTTGGTATAAATTTTATATCCTACAAACATTTTATCTTTATATACACATATAAGTATATGCTTTCATTTGTATGCATTCTTATTCTCTGTAACATGCATGTCTATTTTATATAAATTCTGCAGTATGAATTTTTATCTTATCAGAATTTAGAAATATATTTTTTAAATCCTGATATGTTCTTCTTATTATTTTCCTTTTATATTTTGCATATGAGCAGAAGTATTTTTTTATGGTAAATAAATTTAATAAATACTAAAAATTTTAAACTCAAAGAAAATAAAGTTTCCAGGAGATACAAATACACAATTTAAAATGACAAACAGAAGATAAGATACTTTTTAATTTAAAAATAAAATAATTTCAATTTAAATATTTATAGAGGTACACATTTTTCACATTTCCGTTGAGATCACGATACCCTGAAAGAGTACCTGTATCAAAAGCCTTATCATGAATTTATTATTTATTTATTATTTATTTACGGTTTATTTCAAACAAAAATCCCCAAAATCTCTCGTATGCCTATCGTATCGAATTATGGTAAGATTGCTTAAGTCGTGCCTTTTAAGTTTTAAATTTAGTACTATAACAACAGCACTTCTGACAAAACGAAGATGTACGATTAGTGTCAACAATATTGGCTCGTGTAGTTAGATTTAATTATCGACGGTTTTTTATAATTTTTGGTACTGTTTGTAAGACTCTAGGAAAAGATATTATTGATAAATTCTTGTTCCTTTTTAAGTATTCGTTATGTAGCATTGTAACAGTCGTTTCTTCAAAATTATATCGTTCTAGTCGATTTAGTATTTTATCTTGTTTATTTGAAATATAATACGTACGGGGTCTTAAGTCGCACCCAGAAAAGATTTTTAAATCATACCGGTACGATTTAGAAACCTCTTCTTCCTTAACATATGTATATGTCGTATATTTCCTCACAAATCTGCCGGTTTATAGCGTTGCAACAGAGAAATGTTTAGAGATGAAAAATATTGTGTTGTACAGTGGGTTGTACTCCGGATTTACGTCGCCTCGTAGTTACGTCGCCTCTACGTGACAAGGTAGTCAATTGTTTTAATCAATATTTCTTGCTCTACGTGCTTAGTTTTAACCGAATCAATTTAAAACTTATTTAAGTAAAGAATTTTTATGGGTAAATAATATCAGATTATATAGTTTATACACGGGTTAAGAACTTATCGAAATTTATTTACACTAAATATAAGTAAGCAAGTGCTCATCCTTAAATTCTATTGTTTAAAAAAGGAATACTGTAAGTTTTGAAACTAAATTAGAGGTAATAAAACTTTTTGATAGTGGAATACAAGGTGTTGAGATTAACTAAAAAATAAATTTGCCGAAAAATAGCTGTGACGGCGTTTCTTAAAGATAAGAAATGTATTTTTCTTTTTCTTTTTTATATATCTCTTAGTATATATATTTAAAAGAAGATAGATCCCAATCTGATAAATACATGTGCAGATATGTATATTCGCATACATACATACGTGTCTATCCTGTGTACACCGATTTACGACCGTTTCAACTTACGTCGCCCACTCCAGAACCAATTAGAACGTAAATCCGGGGGCCCACTGTACCAGAGATTGAACACTCATTATACACAGAACCAATTGAAAAAGTGATAGTAGAAACTAACACTCCTCTAATTGACACTCATACTCAGGAAAATCTCCCCGCAACAATCCTACTAGATAGCCCACACAAAATAAAGATGGAATAGAATAATTTATCTTCTGTTCCATATTTGATAAATATCAATCAACAAATCTATAAAGGTACAACCTCATTTATAGAAGTAACATTTGTTCTGTATAAAGAAGAAATGTAAAATACAAAAAGTAAATTGAAAAAAGCATTGAAATAAACCATACATAAAAGGAATGAAGTTAAGAGAAGTAAAAGTTTA